TTTTGTGTTTTTTTTTTTTTTTTTTTTTTTTTTTTTGCTATTAAACATCAGATGAGAGGGAATTCTGTTTTTTTTTTGTTTTTTTTTTAAGTTTAGAAAACATGTCATTGCTGTATCATTGAAGTAACTGAAATTATAACATTGTAGTTTAATGCTACAAAGTTACAGATTCAGGAGGTGGGTTCCAGCTGCAAGATATGCCCTGTCCTGAACTTTCTGAGCAACGGAAACTATTGCTTATTTTTTCATACTTACTAGAAAGAAGAGACAAGGTATGTACTTTCCTAAGACTGTCTGAATATCTAGTACATTTGTACTAGCCTTTAGCTTATACGATCAGTAAAAAGCAGCTCATACTCAAAAAATCTGGAAAAAAAAAAATCACAATCCACCTTCTCAGACCCTATCAGACACGTGTTTTGTTCTGTATGTTAGAATTATATGTACTGCTTGTTCAAAAGTCAGAATTTGGTCTTGGGGAAGGAAAAGTCTGTTTGATAGCTAAATGTTAGCAGTTTCTCTGTCTGACCCTATTGTGAATTATGTAACTTCGCAATTGTCAACTGTTCGCTACTTTTCAAGCACACTTGTAATGTTGAAAGTCTGAAAACCGAACTTTTTCCTTGCTCAGAAGGTAACATTTTTAATTATTTAGTTGTCAGAAGTGTCTGTTACTATTAAGGTGTAGAATTTTCTGGTCTCCACAGGAGTTCTCGCTCATGGTTATATTGCTGGAGACTACAGTTTGTCATTCCCTGGGGACAACATCAAAGAATTCAACAACAGCTGTATCAACAGAGATATTTTTGTACATTATTGTGATTTTAAAAATACTTTGAGGTTTGACATTTTGTCCTCAAATACTAGCTTTGTTGTCTGGAGGAGGAAGGGATTTGGCAAAGTTACTTCAAAAAGCAAGCAAGTTTTTTTGCATTGTAAAGTGGAAACACGAATTCATTTATTTGGTTAAAAAATTCCATTTCATTAAATAATGCTTTCAATTTCTCATTTCATTTACATATTTGACCATTTCATTATGTGGTATTTATTCACCAAAAGTGCCTTTAATCTTTTTTTTAATGTTATGGTTACAAACTGCCCTTTAAATTCTAATAGGTTGTTTTAAACATTTTTGGCAAATATGAAAATAAACTCCAGTCTTTGTAAACGATAAGCTGTCATTCTCAGGAGTAGACTTGAAATCTCTTTCCCTTCCCACAGTTTGGTGATCATACAGCAAAAGACCAAAATGTTTCTTGTGTGGATATTGGCTATGTTCTTTGGGATTTTCCCCCCAGTTTTTATATTTTTATGAGTATGTGTTTGTAGTACACAATGATTACATTCCTTATGGAGAGTTGGTACATGGACATAACACATCTCGATTATTTTTTTCATCCCCTTTCTCTCCTCTTCTCTTCCTTCATCTCATGGCCCTCTTCCCTTTTGTAAAAGATTTATTTTTCTATTTACTATTATCTAACTTGTATTTTGCTCTTTATTTATATTTTGGTTTTCTCTTATAACAGGAAGTTGTGTGTCTGATTTATTTCACTTAACAGATGATCTCAGGGTGCATCCATTTTCCCATAGATGACTCACGTTTATCCTTCTTTAGGGCAGAGTAGTATAAATTTGCAGTAGCTTTCTTAAGCATTTAACTGATCATATTTGATCAGTGCTTTTCTATAGATTATGATCCCAAGTGATATTTCTATTTAATTCCTTTCCCTTAAAAGGGCAACACTTGATGAACTTTATACTAAATGAATACTCTTAGAATCTTACCAATAGGGAGGGTTAAATTATTGGGAGAATGAAGAATGTGAGTAATTTGCTTTCTGTAAAAACCACAAAAATAAGACAGAATTCTACTCTGGAGAGTTGCTTTACAATTTAGGCTGCTTTAGGGAATAATAGAAATCATCTGGCTGAGTTATGCCATTCAAACATTTTTTTTAAAAAAACAGTATACACTGATTTATAAACAATGAAAAATTCCTGTGAAATTAACTTAGCTGATTATTCTCTCTCTCTCTCTCTCTCTCTCTCTCTCTCTCTCTCTCTCCCTCCCTCTCCCTCTCTCCCTCTCTAAGTAAAAACCAATTCATACCACTGTGGAAGTTAAAAAATATTTTTTTAAAATTTTAAACAAGTTTATTTAAACAGCAACACACTTGGTTATTTCTTTTCAGAGTAATTACCCCTGTCTAAAAACAGATCAGCATACATGTAACAGCTACATACAAACAATTATAAAATTGTCCTTAGTTTTACAGTGTTCATTAGAAAATGTGCAAGTTGGACCAGGTCTGCAAGGATTTCTCACTTATTTTTTGTTAAAGCAGAATAACTTACTGGAACATTAAAGATGCTTGCTAATAAAGGAGAAGAATATTTCGCAGAATGAGTATTTTCCTCATTCTGTCTTAATTTGATATTCATATAAATATATTATTGGCCATTTAGTAAAATAAAAAAGATTAAGTGTAGTGTGCTTGTGCATTCACACCAATTGCTCAGGTTCCCCTTTTAGAGATAACTCTTCTGTGCTGCTGCTAGAATCCACCAGTTATATCTTCATCCTACATTTCCAGTTGTGCAAATGTGTCTGCTTCATTGATTGGCCACTGGTCAAATGAGAATCTAATCTGCTTCACTGAGAAATCCTGCTGTTCACCATATGCTTTCATTAGTTTACTAAGTGGGATATGACTGTTACTGTACATCACAGAACCACCCTGCATCCCCACCTTCAAATTAATATGATTGTTATTCTCAGTCTTGACTCCTTTGGGCTTTTATCCACAATGATGAACACTTAAGTCTCGTCAGTCTCACCTTCACAAAGGAGATACCAGGTCTACACCAAACAAGCAAACAAACAGTGCTAAGAGTACCTGAAGGAGAACTGACAGCAATAGGGAACACAATCATGTCACACTCTCTCTCCTCTAAAATTATTACCTTAACCATGTATAATAGAAAAGAAAATAGATTTCATATTTATTCTTTTCTTCATAATAGACTGAATATACCACCATTTGATTATTCATAATTTACTTGATGATGTGTTATTTTGATTTATTATATAATACCAGTAGATGTATTTTTTGTACTTCTAACATTTATTAACTACCAACAGCTAGAGCCAGACACCACTCTAGGGATAGTATCAATATAGCTATGTACTACATGGTAACTAATGCAGTTCTTTGATTCTTGGCTAAATTTTGTGGTTTCTCCTTTTTGCTACTATTTATTGCATAACATTAGGAGCATTAACTCATTTAAATCCTGACTGTATTACTATTATACATGTGATTATAATGGTAATATATTAAACACTTGAAAAATAGCTACTTTTTTTGTATTATGGGATGATTACTTAAGTTGATTTGTAATTGTTACCTTAATTTTTGCTTCTGTAACTGGGTCTAATGATGTATTGTATTTCATTGTAGTATGGAAAAAAGAACACAGCTATAATGTTTAGACCCATAAGTTGGTATGTAGTGAACACTATAGCAATTAGTAGTTATTATTACTACTGTGATTACTATTATTACTGTGATTTCACAATGCTTTCACCCTGCTCTCACCATTTTCTACATTGTTTTGTACCGGGGATTGAACTCAGGACCTTGTTCTTGCAAGGCAGGCATAGTGCCACTGAACTAAATCATCAGTCCTCGCACCATCTTCTATTAAAATTTGTCTGATCTTGTAAAATAACCAGATTTATTAACACAAAGTGCAAAATGAGAATAAGTTGTTTATGTTCAACCTCAGTTCATCTTCAAGAAAATGGAGTGTATGAATGCAGTGTGTGCCTTGATGTTAAATTTTGGCTACTGAGAACCCTTTTTTATTTAATAAGCCATGCTTAAAAATAAATCTTGAATGAGAAAAAATATAAAATTATAATTTATTCTGATAGAAATTGTTTTTTAGGGAAAAGGATCTTGAAGAAGCTCTGGAAGCAGGAGGTTGTGATCTTGAAACTTTGAGAAATATAATTCAAGGGAGACCACTGCCTGCTGAACTGAGGGCCAAAGTTTGGAAGGTAACTGGAGACTAAAATGTAATAGCTTAAAAATAATATTAAAAATTTTTATTTCAGCTCTCTGAAAAGATTTATGAATATGCTGCATCTATGGAAAGTTTGTTAAGCAAAGCAGCTTTAAAAATGTGTTACTCTTCAGTGTTTACTGCATTTAATAGTAGTGGTTTAGATTTTAGAAGGTGATTTTTTTTGTAGCCATTAGAAATGTTTTTTTATGAAAACTGAAAGCAGAAGTGCAGCTAGTAAGTAAAATAGGATATGCAATAACACACAGAGATAATCTCAGCTATGTTTTAAAAAATGAAATATGCTCTGGGTATTAGTTATAGAAGATTTTCTGTTTTCTAATGCATATAAATTTATTAAAATTAAGATTTTTGTTATATATTTGTAGAAATATGAACGCAAAAAATTTTAAAGATCATGTTACCTCATAGGTAAAACGCATAAGTATAGATGTATATGTTTTTTTCTTTGTTCTTAAAGAAATAAAATTGTAATTGTACATAGTATTGTGAATGTTTTATTATAGAAATTTAAATGAATATGAAAGTGTGGAGACTTGTACAATGAATAATGGTGTACCTATAATGCAGCTTTTACTATTATCAGACAAGATTGTCCACATATTGCTTAGTATCTTCATCCTTTCCCTTGCACCCTACGCACTGGATTATTTTTAAAGCAAATTATTGCTTGTATACTAAAATACTTTACTGTGAAAGCCTGAAAAATAAAGACTTTTAAAGTAACCCCAAAGCCATTAAACACTTCAGTAAGTCCTTAATATCATAAAATGATTTCTTCATTTTTCTTATTTTTTTCTTGAGTGATTTGTTTAAAATTGAATTCTAGAAGGCTCACTTTGTTGCAGTGATATGTCGCTTAAGATTCTTTCAATATATTGTTTTTGTACATACTTTTTAAAAAATCTTACAAAATAGCAAAAACTTATGTCATTATTTATTATATATAATTTTTAATTGTAAATGACATAGATACAGGACTTTTTCTTTGCCAATATTACATTTTATGTTTTCAAAATTTTTAGAATAGCAACAAAATGATAGCTTGAAATAATTATACAAGAGGGCTGGGGATTTAGCTTAGTGATTCCAGTGCCTGCCTCGCAAGCATGAGGACCGGAGTTCAATCCCCAGTACCAAAAAACAAAAAAAGAAATTTAAGAAATAATTATACAAGTATATAATTATTTTGTGTATTCTATTCAGTCAATCAACCATGACATAATAAAATCTAATATAGGAAGATTTAAAATAATTCCATTGGTTCATTGTTATGAAAGTTCAGCATTTGGTAAAGTATACTTTAGTTACTTTGTTATTCCTTATTTGAGGCCTTTTATTATTGTAGCATTTTTCCAAGAATGAGAAATAACATGAAGCTAATTTTTTTTTAAATCTTTCTTTCAGATTGCTCTTAATGTTGCTGGTAAAGGTGATAGTTTGGCATCATGGGATGGTATTTTAGACCTGCCAGAACAGACCACTGTTCATAAAGATTGCTTGGGGCTTATTGGTAAGTTTAGTAACTATTTTCAAACAAACAAACATTTTCCTCTTATAATTTAGAATATGTTGAATTTCCATCTTAGATAAGACATTATACCCAATGCCCACAACTTAAAGGAGGAGAGATTTATTTTAGCTCACAATTCAGAAGTTTCAGTCCAAGTTTGGCAGGCTTAAAAACTGAAGCCACACAGAGGAAGGATCTGGTAGAGGAAAGCTGCGCATCTGCAGCCAGGGAGCAGAGAGAGAAAGGTGGAGCTGTCAGTACAGTATAAGATCATGGTAGTACTATGTTATTTCAGCAGCTTTATTAAAAAATAAAAATTATTGAAGAGAAAGAAAGAAAGAATGAATGAATTTGGTGGTTGGAATGAATCCCTTTCTTTCCCCTTTGGAAAGTTGAAGTAACAGCTGATTTTTGTACTATAGATAGTAATCTGTTGTTTTGAAATGCTTTTCTGCTTTCCAGCAATATGCATTTAAGTTAAGGAAAATATTAAAGAGTTATGTTTTTTTCTTGGGTTTTGGACCTGTGAACCAGTAGTTATTAAATGAGTATGAGGAAAAATGCTCTAATGTAATTTTATTTTTGCTTTTATCATGTTATAAATGCACACACAATTACTGGGCTTTTATCATGTCTTTGGTAACTTTATTTTGATTGTTTTCTAGACCAGCTTTCAGTGCCAGAGGAGAAGGCAGCAGAATTACTTCTGGATATTGAATCTGTATTTACCTTCTATTGTAAATCACGTAATATTAAATATAATGCATTACTTAGCTGGATTCATCTACTGAAACCATTGGTGCAACTTCAGCTGCCACGAAGCGATTTATACAACTGCTTTTATGCTATCATGAATAAGTACATTCCCAGGTAAAATATGCTTTAGTTATAGTTTTGAAAGTTTTCAATAAAGATCTAGTTTGCTTTGAGCTAAAGTTGAGTTACTTGATGGTAAAGTAAAAGGTTCAAATAAGTTTCAAGGTTACTAGAACTGTACAAGTAATTGTTTTTGGACTTCATTTTTGTGATTTTTAAACAAAGGATTCTTGTTTATATATGTAGCATAATTCTTCAAGTTTATTAGGTGTTATCTTTATTTTTTGGGAGGTTGGGGTTAAGTATAATGCCTATTACATTGTCTTCATGGAAACTTAAGATTTTGGAGTACTACCTTAGTGTGGTCAGGGATAACTTCCTGAGTAAGTGATACTTAGGTTGAGATCAGACGAATGTGTAGGTGGTTGAGATGGGAGTTATGGTGATGGGGCACTCACTGATGAATCCAGAAAGAATTGTTTTGGTTTCTAGTACTATCAATCAGGTAGTCAAATTTTCAGTCAAAAGAAAGTTTAGACACCATTTAGACTAGTTGCTTTTTATACACAATCTAGATCCAGTCACCTCTGAAAAGCTCCACATGTGACCACATGAGGCTTTGGGGGGACATCTAGATACAGGTCATAATACCATCCTGGTGGGTGTGAAGTAACATCTCACTGTATGTTTTAAATTTTTTCTATTGTGCTGGAGATTGTACCCAGGGCTTTATACATGCTAAGCAAGTGCTCTATACTGAGCTACACTCCCAAGCCTTCGTTAAGATTTGTGACTTACATTTCCCTGTTGGCTACTGATGTTGAGTGTTTTTTCATGTATTTATTGGCAATTTCTGTATTTTCTTTGGAGAACTATCTAGCCAAAGAACAAATTTATTGAATGAAAAATATGTATTTAGAATAAAAAAGTTTATTCAGCCAAAGATCCCTGTCATTTCAAATATAAATGGACTGGGTAGATCCTACACATAGGTATATTTTAAAAGCAATCTCCACAATTATAATGAGTATTGTGCTGCCTTGAAACCATACTGCTTCATAGAAGGAAATCAAACTCAAAGACACCAAAAGGCAAGGCTGAAGTCACTTCAGAGCCAACCTTGAGGTTCTTTTTTTTTTTGGTACTGGGGTTGAACTCAGGACCTTGCACTTACGAGTCAGGTGTAGTCTTGAGATTCTTATTTAGGAATCTTTCTGACATTCTAGGTCTCTTAACTGCCTGTGTTTCAGTACTTCTCATGGACCTCTCTCACTGTGACAGAGCTAGCAATAGCAAGGACATAATGTTCCAGCTTTCTCTTTAGAGAGCAGTGGTGGTGACACATAGGAGTAGAGGGAGGAGGGGCTTTTACATTGAGCTGCATCTTACCATGTTCTTCCAGTTCCTTTTTCCCTGGGTTTCTCATATAATAGTACTCCAGCCATTGTGAACATTAAAGTCTATGGAGAGAACACTGAGCCCCACAAATGCTTCTAGGAGAACTCCAGTGTAACCTATTCTTGTACTACAGATTCAGATATAAGATGGGTAGAATTCTATTAAACACAAGGCCTTGCAGTTGACAGTAACTTTGCAATATGCAACTACTAAATAATGATTCCCAGACACTTTCTCAGAATATGAGACCAGGATTCAGGCAATTGTTCTTATAGTTTATGCCCCTTATTTTTTGTTTTTGTGTTTTGTCTTAGCATTCTGTTGCTTTGTTTTTATTTTTATTCATTCATTCATTGATTCATTCATTCATTCATTTAGTACTTGCACTTGCAAGGCAGGGGGTGGCACCACTGAGCTCAATCCCCAGCTCTGCTTTGCATTTTTATAATAGGGAAAGTATTCAGACTAGGAAAGAGAATCCAAATAAGAATCCAGTTCTAAAAGTGGGCACCTGGATTGCCAACCTGGAGTCTTTTCTGTGAAATTTGTCATCTGCAGTATCAAAAAGTAGTATGTTGGGCTGGGGATTTGGCTCAGTGGTTCCACTGCCTGCCTTGCAAGGGCCTGGGTTAGATCCAAGTACCAAAAAAACAAAACAAACAAACAAAAATGTAGTATGTTGAGAATCATACCAAATCCCAACAGTGACCTCAGATGGTAGATTCGTACAAATTATTTTTCATTATTACCCCTTAAATAACATTTTTTTATTTTTAAATTTATTTCATTTTATTTTTGTAATGCTGGGGATTAGACCCAGAGTATTGCTTATGCCAGGCAAGTGCTTTACCACTAAGCACACTCCTAGCCCCTGAATAGTATTTTAAATTCTTTATCATTCCTTTAATGTTAAGACTGTGGCAGTCATTTAATTAACTTTTTTACATGAAGCTTTTTGCTTTGTTTCATTTTCTTTACGTTTTGCTTTTTAAGAAACTGTACCCTTACCAAAGTAACATTTGTTGAAATATCAGATTATATATATGGAAGGGGACATGGCATAACGATTTATTGTCCAGTTTCTGTGTATAAATCTTAGCTCTATCACTTATTGGCTATGTGGCCTTTGGTGAATTACTTGACTTCAAATAAACATCAGTTTTCTTTTCTGTAAAATGGATATAAATTTCATAGTGTTGTTTATGAAGATAAAATGAAATAATTTTGCAAAAAGCTATTATAGTATCTTGGCACAACAGTAAATACTGACTTTTATTATGATGACCTGTGGTTTAAACTGTAAACTCTCTTGCCTCTGACTAGTAGAATGCATCTCAGAACAAAAGCTGAATGGAGTAAAGTTTGTAATTAGTGGCTGAGGAGTTAGTGAAGGCTGCTAGTCTAAATGAAGATTGAGTTAGTCATCACTTTGTTCACAGTAACACCATATTTTAACCCCCAAACTCTCCAGAGGTAACTATGGTTGTAGTGCTTTTTGTTTTACCTGTAGTAGTTAAAAGAGTAAACATCTCTATATTCAGTAAGATCATACTGCCAGAAGTCTAATATCTTTTGAATTTTGAGAGATTCTTTTTTTCCCCCCCTAATTACTGAGAATTAAATTGGGCTTTGCTTGAGCTATATCCCCAGCATGTTTTAGTTTTTACTTTGAGAAAGAGTTTTCCTAAGTTACTAAGCTGCCCATGCTGCCTGGGCTCTCACTTGATCCTCCTGCCTCAACCTTCCAGAGTGCTGGGCTTACAAGGATACACCACCATCACCATGCCCAGCTAACAGATTCTTTTTTTTTTGGTGTACTGGGGATAAAACTTGGGACCTTCCTCTTGTGAGGCAGGTGGCAGCACCACTGAGCTAAATCCCTGGCCCTAACAAATTCTTTTTTCATGAAGTAACTCAGTTAAATTTTGAGGTATTAAAAACATACACACTAAAATGAATTAATGAGAAATCAATAGTATCAAATTTTTAGTTACAGAAGATTTTCTAATAGTACACAAATTATGTGCATTAGAAGACAAGGTTTCTGAGTTCAAAGTCAGAGACTGCATATGGGAAGGCAGAAGCAACTGTGCTTCTTGAAGGATGCGCCTAGGACATGAAACAAGTCTAAATCTGCTCCAGGGGATTGTTTACTTCTGGGTTAGATGCTTGGGTTTCTGGGTATAGGGATAGTACCTTTCAGAATAGGCTTATAAGGCCTGGGAATGTAGCTCAGTGATCGAGTATTTGCTAAGCATTCATGAGGCCTTAGGCATGATCCTTATCACCCACCCATCCCCAGCACACATGCCAAAGAAGAAAAGGTGGTATTGGGGGGAGACAGAGTAGATCAGAGTTGTGAGTAGCTACCAACCTTGTAAAGAGGAGCCTGTTTAAAGCTAAAGATACTCGATAGGCTCCCTGAAATAATGCTGCAGAGAACTTGCAGTCCAGAATTTGTCTCTAGGCCTTTTGCATTTATTTTTACTTTTGAAGTGTGTTGCAGTAGAATGTGGTTTGTTTGAAAAAAATAAAGGCATTGTGATAATGGTAGAGTATGCATTTGGTGTCTTTTACTTTAAAACAATATTCACATTCAGCTTTCCCATTTTACTCTTAACCCTTTGAAATATGACAGTGATTCAATAGGATGAATATTTGTTATCTTTTGGAATTCACTCTGAGCACCTAGTACCCAGGCCACTACAGTGGTTTCTAAGGGTAGAGCTCATCATTCTGAAATGTTTATCTGTGGTCATTTCAGTCTTGTACTTTGCTGAAGAACATTCCTAGTTGAGTATAAAAACTATGTGGAACTTTCTTTAGGAGTTTTACAAAAACACTTTCATACTTGGGAGGGAAGGCTGGGCATTTAGCTCAGTGGTTTCACTACCTGCCTCCCAAGCACAAGGTTCCGAGTTTGATTCCCAATACAAAAAAAACAAAACATACTTAGGAGGGAAGGAGCAAACCAGATTTCTTCAGGACCCTCTAGATCTTTTGGGACCCCAACCTTATCACAATAACTTAAGTACTATTTTCATTGATTCCTGTTGTTCCCACTTGAAAGCTACTTGGGTTCATTTCGTGAGAATCTCCCTAAAGTGGTTGTAGATCTGCTGTCAACTTTTGTCAGGTCAAATGTATTAGAAGGTGTTAGCAAGAGAACTTTGCCTGGTCCTGTCAAGTAGGCTTGCCCTAAATATGTGGTAGTCAGGTATTGTGCAGGTGTTGTACAGATGGGAAGTGGATGATTGCAGGAGGTGCAAGAGGTGTTTCAGGAGGACTGATTAGTGATGTGATCGTTTCTGGCCTATTAATGTAAAAAAACTTTGTTTCTCTTCTAGGGATTGTTCTCTGAAGGGGAGACCATTTCATCTCTTTCGATTACTCATCCAATACCATGAACCTGAGCTTTGTTCTTTTCTTGACACAAAGAAAATTACTCCAGACTCCTATGCACTCAACTGGGTAATAAAGTAAAAGTAGGAACACTTAATGAAAAATAGTTTTATATAAAACTATAGTTAGGTAATGTTTTTTCAAGGAAAATAGAATTCTGAATTGTAGACCAGGCCAGGCATGCCTGTTATCCCTGCATTTGGGAGGCTGAGGCAGGAGGACCTCACCCCCTCCCAAAATTGTAGACCATTACTTCTTTAAACTATAGGAGTAAAATTACTGATATTTCAAAATAACTTTTTTTGCTTTTCACTTATGCTAGCTCAGATTATTTGATGTAAACTTTAGATTTTTGTTGTATTACACATATATAGAAAATAACTAATATATGTTTAGTATGTGTTAATGTGTTATGTATAAATTCAATATTAATTTACCATAGTAACATTTAACACATAATTCTGCAAATATATGCATATAATATATGTAAATATGTATTAATTCAATTTAAAACTTTATGTGTTTAAACTGTTGATGATATATATAAGAGTTGGTAGGGCCAGGATATAGCCCAGTGGTGCTGCGCCTGCCAGGGCATGCATAAGGTTGTGAGTTTTATCCCTGGTACAGAAAAAAAAAGAATTGGTAAATAATCATGAGGAAAAGTACTAAGATTATCAAATGGCTAATGTAAAAGAAAAAGTACAACTCATGTTCTGCCCTATATTTGTTTTTTATTCCGGGTCAGTGGTTCTCAAATCTTTTAGAACCCTTTACACTCTTAGTTATGATGGGGCTGGGGATTTAGCTCAGTGGCCCCACGCCTACTTTGCAAGCACAGTGTCCTGAGTTCGATCCCTTGTACTAGTAAAATAATTTTTTTTTAGTTATGATTTGTTTATATGGATTATGTTAATTAGAAAGTAAAACTAAAGAATTTTAAATATTCATTTAAAAGCAATCATAAATCCATTTCATGTAACATAATTGGCCTATTTTTAAATGAAAAGCTACATTTTTTCCCAAGTGTCATTAATCAAAGGTAGGTAGATACACATAACTGCTTTTTTATTCAGTCTATGATGATATCATGTAAACTTCAGAGAATTCTATTGTTTATTTATGAGGGAATGAGTTTGAAATGGGCAAGTAAAAACCTAAGCATTATTATGAAATAGTCTTGACCTCACAGACTCCCCAGTAAGGGGTTTTCAGGATTTTTAGGGTCTTCAAATTAAAGTTTGAGAACTGCTCTTCTAGGGTAACTGAAGATCTTTTTAAAAGAATGATTGGATACTCAAAGACTGTTAAGAAATTGAACATTCTTTTTCTGTTGTTTTGTTTTGTTTGAGATAATCAGAATTGAACCCCAGGGATTCCCACTGGGCTACATACCCAGCTCCCCCCCATCCCACTTTTGAAACGTGGTCTCTCTAAGTCACTGAGTTGTACACTATGGGCTCCAACCTCAGCCTCTCAGAGTGCTGGGATTTAACGTATGCACCATCATGCCCAACTTGAACATATTCTTTGATTATATCTTATTTAACTTTAGGAAGAATCCTAAAGAATCTGCCACTTATTAACTGTATGATATAGCACACATAATTCTTAACCTTCAATTTCATCATCTATAAATTGGGAATAACATCTAAGGATGATGGGATGAGTTAGCAATCAGGTAATGGTAATTAAGAGAATCATAACTAGTTTTGCTTCTGGATTCATGAAATCTTAAACCTTAGTCTGTTCCTTAGTTTTCCCGTGGCCGCAGGTTTATGCCTTTGTATTAAAAATTATAAAATACCTATAAAATTGTGACTTCTCTAAGATTCATATGTTGACAATAAATCTACTTATTTATTTATTTTTGGTACTGGGGATCGAACTCTGGTCCTTGCGCTTGCAAGGCAGGTGGTGGAACCACTGAGCTAAATTCCTGGCCCCAAATCTACTTATTTATGTTAAACTAAGAAATTATTCCCCACTCCCATACTTTCTTTTTCTCTTTGTAACACTGGGAATTCCAGGGCTTTGAGTGCTAGGCAAGTACTCTGCCACTGAGGTACCTCACTATCCCCTTTTAAATTTAATTGGGGACAGGGTCTCATGGGTTCCTCAGGCTGGCCCTGAACTTGTGATGGTCTTTCCTGTGCCTTTTAAGTACTGGGATTGCAGATATGTATAACTATGCCTGGTCTAAATACATTTCTGTTGCCAGAACTCTGAATTGGTAGTCTGTTATTTCAGGAAGTTTAATCTAAACACTAGAACAACTGAGTACTCCTTACCTGAAGTGTCAGTTCGTTGTTGCTACTTCATTATGTTGATGAAATAGTTTTTTTCTTTTTTTAATCATGAGGTGAAAGAAAATTTATTTCTAAACCTTAACAGCACATTACTGTGAACCACAAGTGGTAGCTTTAGTTGAGCTGAGGTTAGGGTTGGGTATTTATTACTGTTCTTTTTGTATTTACATCTTCTAATCTACATGTGTGATACTAACTTTTCAAACAACAAAAAAACCTTAATAGCATTTTGTACTTTAAAAGCTTGTGATTGAGTAAAAATGGCAGTTACATGGGCTGTGGTGTTCCTAGTCCCAACAGCAATACTCACTAATCCATTAACTTGAGAAAATTATTTGATCCAAGCCTAATACCCTAACTGAAAAATGGGGAAAAAATCTCTACAAGTCTGTTGTGAGAATTGAGAAAATTAATATTTGACAGTAGTGTAGTATCTAACATGAAGTATATATTAGATATCAGTTTCTCATTAGCTCCTTTATATTAAAGATGTTTAAATATAATCCTTTAAGTGGAATTGTTTTCTGATCTTATTAAAATTTAATGTCTGGGCTAGAGATTTAGCTCAGTGATTTTGGTGCCTGCCTTGCAAGCACAAGGTCCCAAATTCGATCCCTGATAAGGGGGAAAAAATTTTGAATGACTAACAAATATCACTGAATTTATGCAGTTTAAAAACACAGTTGGATAGCTGTGCATAGTGATGCATGCCTGTAGACCCAGCACTTGGAAGCCTGAGGAAGAAGGATCACCGCGAGTTTAAAATAAGCCTAGGCAGAAAGTGAGTTCAAGACCAGCCTGAACTATGCTGCAAAACCCTGTCTCCAAAAAGCAAAAACAAGCTGGATGTGGTGGCTCATGCCTGTGATCCCAGTACTCAGGAGGCTGGGGCAGGAGTATTGCTGGGAGTTTGAGGCCAGCTTGGGCTGTATAGTGATTTCAAGGCCAGCCTGAACTGTGTAGTGAGACCTTGTCTCAAAAATGAAATAATCATAATAAAATAACACAATTGGGGTGTAGAAAATACTGTAAATTAACAACTCTTATTTGAAATATTAGACTATAGAGCTAAAATTTATTGAACATTATGAATTTTGTTCACCTGTTTCACATAATTTGCAAGTAAGCTTTGGAAGCAGTTTACATTTATTTGTCAAATTTTTATTGGATACTTTTAAGTAACTATTTTTGATCCTCATAATTACCTTGTAAGTTAATACTATGCTATAGTTAATAGTAATTGTGCTAGTTGCCCTTATAATACTCTGCAGGTAATTTACAGGTTTTTATACTGTGGCAGGGACATATGTTAATTATTTTAGATATTCTTGGTTAATTATCTCTCTACAACATTGGTAGAAATAGAACTTTAGGAGGTTAGTGACATGACCTAGGCTACACAACTAGTAAGTGGCCCCATTGTGGTGTTTTTTGTTTTGTTTTGTTTCTTTTCCCGGTACTGGGGATTGAACTTGGGTCCTTGCGCTTGCAAGGCAGGCCACCGAACCACTGAGCTAAATCCCCAGCCCTATTCCATTGTGTTTTGAATACACGTGTTCTGCCTCTGGATTCCATACACTACAGCTAAGGTACACATTAAATATCAGGTGCATATAATATTTTGCGTTTGCTTTACTACTTTTAAAAGTATTACAAGCCAGTTCCAGTGGTTTATGTTTCTCATTTCATTTCCTACTTACAGCTTGGAAGCCTTTTTGCATGTTACTGTTCCATTGAAGTCACTCAGGCAATATGGGATGGATATCTCCAACAAGCAGATCCATTTTTTATTTATTTTTTAATGTTAATTATCCTTGTTAATGCAAAGTAAGTATTAAGTTGATTAAATTTGTTTCTTCTCTTTCAAAGTGGTCTATTAATATTTAACTCAAATTCAATTTGATTACCTTTTACAGAGAAGTTATTTTAGCACAAGAATCAGACAGCAAAGAAGAAATTATCCGTAAGTATTTAATGTGGAGAAAAGATTTCAGGTCAGTTAATACCTCTAAAACTCAGCTTTCTCATCCATAAATTTAGAAAATTAGGCTACTATTGTTCTAAGTTTCCACTGTATTCTTTAAACATTCTTGGTACAGACACCTTAAAGATTTTTTTTCTCTGATTCTGCCATCCTCATTCATTCCTTCGAGGATTTTCATTTTTTTATTCTTTGCCTGTACTGTTTCTTTGATTTTAATACTCAAGTAGAATGCTTCCCTGCCACTAGTGTACCTTTTTGTACTACAATCACAATTGTGGAGCTTTGGTTCTTTTTTTTGGGTTCTACTCACTCTAGTTCCTCAACAGAGGTAATTATTTCCTCTCTATATTGCCTTATACTTTGTACTGTCTGTATAATATTCTTTTCTGGCTACATTATGATGATTTATTTTTGTTTTTTATGCAAGATAAAGTTCCTTAGGAACTATAATTCATTTTTTTTAATTTCTAGGGGCCCTGGCATTTTGTGTTTGTAGAATAAATAAATAAATTCTGAGTAAAGCTAATGAATATGATTTTAACTGACCATGCATCAGTAACAGGAGAATTATACTGACAGTTTCACCTTCTTTGGGGAAATCTGTTTCTCAGCAAGCAGCTTTTTAAAAGCATCACCATTGAGATTCCATTTATGTAGTATTTATTAGGTTGAATATATTTTAGTTTTGCACATAGTGAATATTTTTCACAAACAATTTGTTAAATGATACACCTGTAATCATATTTCAGAGTTCTTGGAAAATACACCATCCAGTTTAAATCTTGAGGATATAGAAGACCTTTTCACTCTGGCTCAGTATTATTGCAGTAAAACCCCAGCTTCTTTTCGAAAGGTAAAAGACAAAAAGTGAACAGCTCTTCTCTTTTTCACATTTCTTATATTGTATTTACTTTATATCAACTTCAGTCAGAATACTCTTAAATTATCATCCTTTTTTTATGTATTACAGTTCTGCGTGATTTCTTTCACTATGAATATTTTCCCTAGTAGAGAAATAGTTTTAAAGAGTTAGAAATCATCTGACCTTTGTTCTGATTATTAGTTAATACTAATCCTGAGGAAATTTGACTGTGAGGTATTTTCTAAATTAGTGCTTTTGTAACTTCAAAAATTGTACTTCAAAAATCCAATAGAAGTTAAGTGGTTATTATGTCACTTTCTGGAGTTCAGCTTTGGACCGTCTGTCTTATTGATGCAGAACTGTTTTGTAAACAAACAAAAAGTTTTTCTTTTTTTTATTTTCTCATTGAGTTTATTGGTACTTTTTAAGTATACAGTACAATTAACATTCATTATTGGAATCTGTACCTTTACATGACAGATCTTCGTTCTCATTTTTTCCCATACCCCTGCCCTCAATTCACTCCCTTACTCCACCCCTATCTACAAAGACTTTGTTTCCATTTTTTCCTTTTCTCATATTTTTCTTGTCTCTTATTCCCTTTCCCCTACCCTTCCCACTTTCCCTACACCTTTAGCCCTTTTCTTCCTATTTCGCATTGTTGGTTATACAATTTGGATCTTATTTACACTTTTAGCTTTTCACATCAGAGAAACTACTCAATATTTACACATGTATGTCTTATTTATTTCACTTAAGAGCATGGCCTCAATAAAAAGTTTTTCACTTAGCTCCTTAGGGACCAACATCCTTAGACTGGGTGCTTTCAGTGGAGGATACCAGATCAGAATTATGAGTGGTATGAACTTCTAGGAAATAATATCTCAAGAAACACAAATAATAGTGGAGGAGGCAAAGCTTTTAAATGTATAAACTACACGTTTGTCTGTATAGAATGTTATTGTCATTTAAAAAAAACAACATTCTGCCATAGTTATTCCTAGTTGATAGTCATTGTGTCATTGAAATGGTCAAGGTTAAAATATGTTCAGTATAGGTGTCTCAAAAAGCAGATAATGTTCTTTTAAGAACATTTCCCAGCCAGGCGTGGTGGTGCACACCTGTAATCCCAGCACTCGGGAGGTTGAGTCAGTAAGATTGCTGCAAGTTCGAAACCAGCCTAGGCTACCTTGTGAATTCCAGGTCAGTCTCAACTACATAGTGAGACCCTGTCTCAAAAAACCAAAAAAAAAGAATATTTCCCTCAAAAATAAGAAATTAAAGGGCTGGGGATTTAGCTCAGTAGTTCCACCACCTGTCTCAAAAGTGCAAGGTCCCAAGTTCCATCCTTGTACCCCCCCAAAAAAAATTTTGTTTCTGGGGATTAATTTCAGCTAATTTAATAATTTCCTTATATACATCACTTCAGTTTCCAACAGTGTTGGGTGAATCAAATGGTGGACTTAGTGGTTTAGCATACTAGATGAAAAATACATCTTTTTTGCTTTTTCAGCTTTTTTTTTTTTTTGTACCAGGAATCAAACTTGGGACCTTGCATTTGCAAGGCAGGCAGCAGAATCACTGAGCTAAATCCCCAGCCCATGTTTTATTTTTACTACAAAAAGTTATAAGCAAGCTTTTTTTTTTAATTTGCTTTTTGGAGACAGGGTCTTACTTATATAGCCCAGGCTGGCCTTGAATTTATGATCCTCCTGTTTTGACCTTCTGAGAGCTGGGATTCTAGTTGTGTGCCAGTGTGCCCTACCTAGCCCTTAAAAATGAAATGATGGTACAGAAAAGAGCTGTGTAGAATGTTATCTTTTTCTGAGAGTTTAATTTTGTGTGAGGTTTTTTTAACATATAAAATTTGAGATTGTACAAGTTTAAAAATCACAGGACTCAGTAAGCATACATAATTATATCACTATCATGGTTTATAAGAATATGTTTAGTGAGAAAATTTGATTTTGATTTTTTTCCATAATGTTAAAAAATTTCTCTTTGAATAGGATAATCACCATCTCTTTGGCAATACTCTGTTGGGAATTAAGGATGATGATGGAGATGTAAGTCAAGCTCTTTGTCTGGCCATCTCAGTATCAGAAATTCTTCAAGCCAATCAGCTGCAAGGGGTAAGTGAAGGAAAATCGTTTGCAAGGAAACTATGCCTTGTAAGTGTAAGGAACCAGGGTTGGGCATGTAGTTTATTGTTAAAAATTGTGCTTAGCAGCCGGATGTGGTGGCACATGCCTGTAATCCTAGCATTCAGGAGGCTGAGGCAGGAGGTTTGCTGTGAGTTACCAGCCTGGGCTACATAGTGAGCTCCAGGTCAGTCTCAACTACATAGTGAGACCCTGTCTCAAAAACCAAAAAAAAAAAAAAAGTCACCTTTTAGCAAGTCACTTTTCAGCACCAAAAAGAAAATGTTTCTTTCTTGTTCATTGAATCCCACAAAATTAACTTATTATAACAACGTGACTGTTTTGCTTTTTTGAATAGTGTGTTAAATCTTCTGTCCAGATGGTCATTTTTTAAACTGCCAGCTGTGTATTATTTTAGTCATCAGTAACTATTGTTGTCACTCAACACCACTTTTTTCATATTTCAGCAAAGCAGTTGAATGTGGCATTGTATAAAGTACTGAAAGGGGTGAACTTCACATTTAACATTTAAATTCTGCATAGTTATACAGCTAATTAAATTACATGGTTTAATGCCATAAAGCTAGCAAAGACCAATTACAAAAAATATACCATACTAGTATGACCATCATGAAAATCTCATGTGTCATTTTGACCAATGATTTTTTTTCAGTGTATGTATTTATTATTTGTTCTGTCATAGTTAGCTTTGGGTGTTTGTATTTGGAAGGTTGGGTTATTTCCAAAGTTGAGGAGGGGAAAGGAGAAGATATGGGGTGATGGGTGATAGGCCTTTTACAATAGCTTTCAGTTGGATTTCTTATTATATTTGTACTGGTTGTTCAGAATTTTCAAAATACAAGCACCTCTCATTTATTTCTTATTAGGACTAATATTAAAAAGAAATTGTATAATCCAAGTTTAAGAGACCCATATAAACTTCTTTGGTTCAAATTGTCTTTGTAACCACACCCCAGGGACATACAGTTTATATAAATTGGTTCATTGATACGTTTGTGGACTTGCTGTAAAAATAGCAGTGTGTCTAGAGTTGTGTTTATAATTATAGTGTTTACATGATACACACTGAAAAGTTGTTAGATTCTAATATAATTAGATTTATAGTGCAAACTGGCATTCTCTTGCTACATATTTTGAGACTTCCAAGTCAAGAACAACATATAAAAAACATGTTAACTGTTTAAAAATTAATAAAAATATTTGGCACATTGAGGTTATTTTCGTGTATTTACAGAAGTTTGATCCTCCTAATTCTATGAGGTATCCATTTTTCTAATAGAGTTGTTCTCTTTAGCTATTGTTTGGTTAAGCAGTAGTTATTACTATTACACTGTGGAATGGGAAGCTCGTGGCAAATTCCAGTGTGTTGAATGTTTCCCTTTTAGGAAGGAGTCCGGTTCTTTGTGGTGGATTGCCGTCCTGCAGAACAGTATAATGCTGGGCATTTATCAACTGCTTTCCACTTAGATTCAGATCTGGTTAGTATAAATCTTCACTGAATATTTTGCAAATATAAAACTAATTTTTTTTCTTTAGCTCACAAATAAATATACATGTTCAAGATGTTTTCTTTTTTTTTTTCCAGCTTTAATTGAGTTTATTGGTACATTTTAGGGATACAGTACAGTTACATTCATTGTTGGGATCTTGTACCTCTACATAACAAGTCTTGATTCTCATTTTTTCCCCTTACCTCTGCCCTCCCTTCACCCCCTCCTCCCCTCCCCATCTACAAACACTTTATTTTCATCTTTTCATTCTCTCACATTTTTTTCTTTTCCCTTTTTACTCTTCCCCTACCCATCCCACCTTCCCTACACCTTTAGCTCCTTTCTTCCCATTTCTAAATGTCAGTAATCTTATTAGAATCTTATGCATTGTTGCAGATTATTTACACCAGGGAAACTATTTGGTATTTACACATGTGTGACTTATTTATTTCACTTAGGAGTATATCTTCAATATGTATCCATTTTCCTATGAATGAATCTATTTTCTCATTCTTTATGGCTGAGTAATATTCCATTTTATAGAAAAACCACATCTTCTTTATCCAGTTTCCAATGGATGGGCAAATGGGCTGTTTCCAAGTTTTAGCTATTACAAACTGTGCCACTATAAACATGGGTGCGCATACTTCTCTGTGATATGATTCTTTTAGTTCTTTTGGAAAGATACCCAGCAGAGGAATGGCTGGGTCAAATGGAACCTCCAGTCCAAGAAGATGTTTTCCTTTCTATGTAAAGAGAAAGTCTTTGCCCCATAAGACATATTGCTCTTGGGTTTCCTTTTTACCCAGGACATCTTTCTGGCATCATAGAGGGTAAATGACAACTGGTAACTATGGCTTACTTTGCCATTATATGTCAGTAAATTCTGAACTTAATATGAGCTACCTGCTAGGGCAGTTAGTATAGTGGCTTGTACCTAGTAAACAATCTGTAAATATCATCTCTTGTTATAATTGGGTAAGACTTTTAAAAACTTTACCTTAAGTTGTTTTTATAATCAAGAGTATTTACATATACAACAAGCTCATATTTAAAATAAGAGTACTGTGTGGATATAAGTGCTCAGTTCTTAAAATTACTATCCTAGGATCATTTCAGTTGAAGGAAAAAAGTAATTAAATTTTGTCAGAGATGACTAGAATGGAGACTGACATCATTTAAGCAAGGGGTCATTAGAGCTTCAGGAATGGGGAAAACAGAAGTGAGGTACCAACCTCCATTGCTGAATATGTAGTTCACTCTTCCCAATTTGTCTGACAATGCTGATGCTGAGGCTAAAAAGATGTGCAGAGGGTCTAGGTGGTGTTGAGAGGAAACTAAAGTAGAACTTGGGGAGTTTTGCACATTATAGGTAAGAAAAGCCATTTTGCTTTTTTTATATTGTTTAGGTTTAATTTTCTTCTTGATTATTAAGTGTATTTTAAAAATTCAGTTGATTCAAAAATACATGAATTACACTTTTTTGTTTCACTGCTTACCTTTTCTCCCAGGTTCTTGGAGATCTTTCCATTTAAGTACCTTTATTTTTATTTTTAATTCTACATAGTGATCCATGATACATATGTATCATAGAATTTTGTTTGCTTAATATACATTTCACTTTTCTTATAAAATGATGCATTTAACATGTTTATACATATTTTGTGAACTTATGCAACCATTTCTCTAACATAGGTCCTTAAAAGTAGAATTGTTGGATTGAGGGATGTGACCCTTTTATTGTCCTTTAAAAAGGCTGAACTGCTTTGTACTTCACAGTTGTGAATGTAAATGACTGTTATATCATCAGGATTATTCGACATTGTTGGTCTCCCTCTGTTTTTTTTTCTTTTTTCTTTTTTCTTTTTTCTTTTTATATTACCAAAATGAGAAGTAGAAAATACTGGTGATTACTAATGAAACTGGATGTGACCCTTTTATTGTCCTTTAAAAAGGCTGAACTGCTTTGTACTTCACAGTTGTGAATGTAAATGACTGTTATCTCATCAGGATTATTCGACATTGTTGGTCTCCCTCTGTTTTTTTTTCTTTTTTCTTTTTTCTTTTTTCTTTTTATATTACCAAAATGAGAAGTAGAAAATACTGGTGATTACTAATGAAACTGAGCAACTTTTTTTTTTTTTTTAACAAATTGGTCTTTTATATGATATGTCCATTTTTTTCTGTTGGATTTTCACTATACTTTTTAAGTAGCCCCACTATAGCAATTTTTAAAATCTTGTCATAGTTATTGCATAATTGTTCCTTTGAGAGTAAGAAATGAATTTTTCATCTTGTGGCTCTAATAGCTAAAGTAATGTTAAGTACAAGTATGCTCTAAGGCATTCTTGCCCATAAGTTGAAAGTGAAAAATAGAAAATTTAGACACTACTCTGTTTGTTTTTAGTCATGGAACCTTCCACTTTGTGATGAACAGTTTTTTCCTATTATACTTAAGGACACTTAGCTAGTTATTTGTTATATAAGGAAGCAAGCAAACAGCTGAGCATAGTTGGCTCATGCCTATCCCAGTTGTTTAGGAGGCTGAGGTGGGAGGATCACAGCCTGATCTATTAAGCAACCTTTAGTAAGACCCTATCTTAAAATAAAAAGTGAAAAAAGGGCTGAGGATATATATAGCTCAGTGCAAGGTCATGGATTCAGTCCTTAGTACCACACAAACACACACGCATAAATATACACCCAAAAAACAAAACAAATGCAAAAATATGTTAGTAGAGCAGTATTTTTTTGCATAATTAAACTTTTCTGTGAATTTTCTAGTTTTATGTTAATGTATTACAGGTATATTTATGCACATTTCTTTATCCCTGGGATTTTATTTATAGAAATGTTTCCCTTTGTTTTTGTGTGGTGGTTCTTTAAATGTTGGGTCTTTTCTGGAAATATTTCAGGTTTTACAAATGTATATGAAACGCAGACTTATCATTTTTAATTTTTTAAAATAATCTAGATGCTCCAGAATCCATCTGAGTTTGCACAATCAGTAAAATCCTTGCTGGAAGCACAAAAGCAGTCCATTGAATCTGGCTCCATAGCTGGTGGGGAGCATCTCTGTTTTATGGGTAGTGGCAGGGAGGAAGAAGACATGTACATGAACATGGTCCTGGCACACTTTTTACAGGTATGCTGACATTGATTATTTCATTTTACTTGACTATTGCTTTCAAATTGAAGATATTTGTAGAGTTTTTTACTTTTACCTACACTATTAGATTTATCAATATTTTTCTTTCCAGCTCCTTGGTTTTTTTGTCTTGCCAGGAAAAGCTGTCTTTTTCTGTAGATTTTTCTTGGATGCTTATATGGTGTGGTTTTTATATTTTAAATTTTAAACCATGTAAAATTTATTTTTGTTTAAGAAGGTAAAAAATATTTTTAAAATATTGTTTTCCAGATAGCAAAGTAATTGTGCTGTGAGTTTGAAATACCATGTTTTTAATAGTGAATTGAATTTTTCCATGCATCACGATCTATTTCTGGATTATTCTGTTGTATTGATCTTTATGCTTATTCATGCTGTAGTACTTTTTATAGTAGCTATATAATTCATTTTAGTATTTTCATTTTTAATTTGAATAAATATACATTTATATTTATTCATGACATTTAGCCATCTAAGACATAAGTTTTTAGTGTTGGAATATTGTTTTCAGCACAAATAATTTATACTAGAGATATTATTCAAGTTCTCCTTTTGCTTTCCTTCACAACCTCAGTCAGTAATGACTTTCTTTATAGAAAATAGTTATTATTAAGTATTTTTTTGGCAGTTTATACATTAAGGTTTTTAGTTTGTATGATTTTAAACTATGGAATCAGAAAGATCATAGGCTTGTTGTTAAACAATCCACTTAGTTTGAGTTCATTTCTGTTTATGTTTTACTGCGCATTTGGTTTAAGAAACTTACTCTAAAGGCAAAGTTCTTAAAAGGTAGAATCAAAGCCAAGTGTGGTGTGACATGTTTTTAATCTCAGGTACTCAAGAAGACCACAGTTTGAAGCCAGCCTGGGCAACTTAGGGAGATTTTGTCTCACCATAAAAAGGGATGGGACTATATAACTCAGAACTAGAATGCTTCCCTACCATGCTTGTAGGACCTAAGTTCAATTCCCAGGACTGCAACACAAAATACAAAAACAAACAAAAAGACAAAATCAGAGAAGGAAGAGGTATTTGGAGGAGGGATTATTATCAATAATTTTAGGGTCAGGGATTTAGCACAGTGGTTCTGCTCCCTGCCTCACAAGTTTGCCTCACAAACTCAGGTTCCGAGTTTGATCTCCAGTACAAAAAAAATAAGACTTTTAAACCTTCTTAAGGGAAAGAGTTTAGAAATTTATACAGAATAACAAAAATAGGGTCCTAAATTTGTGTGTGTGTGTTTGTGTGTGTGTGTGTGCACATGCGCTTTGCTGTTTTGAGATAGGGTCTTGCAATGTAGTTCAGGCTGGCCTTGAACTCTCTATGTAGCCCAGGCTTGACTCAAGCTGAACCTCATGCCTCAGCCTTTCAAGTGCTGGGATTATGAATGTGTGCTGCCTACTATACCCAACCCAAACTCATTTTACTTATAAATTTAACTAGCCTATTTTTAAAATGCTTTAGTATAAACTATATATTGTATGGGCTGTTACAAAGGTTTGGGATGGGGCTGGGTATTTATCTCAGTGGTTTCGCTGCCTGCCTTGCAAGCACAAGGGCCTGAGTTCGATCCCTGGTACCAAGAAAAAAACAAAGGTTTGGGATATGGGATATTATAAATATTATTCAGATTATTTGTGGTATTTTAGAAATTTTTGTCGTGAAAAGTTAAAAGAAATTGAAAAGTGAGCATTGAATACCACAAATTCTTTATAACATAATCATATACTTTTTTGTAAAAAAAAAAAAATCTAGGGCTGGGGATTTAGCTCAGTGGTTCTGCCCCTGCCTTGAAAGTGTGAGGACTAAAGTTCAATCCCCAATACCAAAAAAATAATAATAATGAAAAATTTAAAAATCTAGCCTCATGTTTAAATTTCCTTGATTTTCCTAGGGTCAAAACAAAGCACTGCATTTAATTGATTTTTCTTTAAATATCTTTTATGGGTTTCTAATTTTTTCCTTGCATATATTTGTTGAAAATGATCCAGTTAATAATTCTTCATAGTTTCCCACATTCTGATTTTGATTACATTCACAGGGTATCATTTATCAAGTTCGGTCCCTTGTCTCCTATAAGCTGCTTGTTAGATCTAAAGATTTGGTTACATTGCCTTTTTAGGGAAGAGAGGGTCTTGGGGTGTGTCTTTTCTCATTACTGACTCAAAATACCCAACACTCAAAGTTAAATCAACACTCAAATTTATATCACTGTAGAGGTTTCAGTTCATAGTCAGCTGGCTCAAGGCAGGGTTGCATGGCACAGGGGCATCACAGAGGAGAAACAGTTCATGGTGAACAGAAGGCAGGATGACAGCAAAACAGAAGGCAGTGAAGTATGAAGTACCAAGCGGCAAGTGGCAAGTGGTAACCCTCTTTCCCTTATATCTTATCCAGGCTACCCACTCTGAGGGCACGTAGCACTCATACTCAGGGTGAGGCAGCCTTAATCCCAGTGTATGCTTGATCCCAGCATCACACACCCTAGATTGAGCCACCTCTGAAAAGCCCCACCTATGACCACATCTGGACATTTAGATATAAGCCTGCAACAGGGTGTTTGCTTCAGGTATATTCTCATTTCTTTCTCTCCTCCCCCTTTCTCTGGGTTTATCATTACTTAGATCCTTCAAGATGGTAGTATTCTATTACTTCTTTTTCATAATTAGCTATATTTCTTTTTACATTACCTTTTTATAAAGGTTACAAAATATTTTTTAAATTTGATACTCTTTAAATTTAGTTTGACTCTTGCACTGTTGGGACCATGATTCAAGTAAAATTATAGTCCTTTTTACTAGTCATGAAATCGTTCCCTTCTTCCTGCCTAAGCAACACCTCACCTTACAACACACAGGGTAAATATGTGTGTGTGTGTGGGGAGGGAGGGAGAGAGAGAAGAAGGGAGGGAGAGAGAGAGAGAGAGAGACAGAGACATGTCTATGACAAAGTCTAAAATGTTAAGGAAAAAAAAGTACAAAATTTTAATATATGACTGTGTATTGCATGTGTCAGTGTTTTAGAATTACCAGTAGTTTTAATTAAATTTTAATTAAATTTAAATTTTTTGAAATAATTAAAATTTTTTCTCATTACAGAAAAACAAAGAATATGTGAGTATTGCCAGTGGAGGATTTATGGGTAAGGTTTTATTAATTTCTTTGCCTGTACTCTTTAATATATTGTTCAGCATGGCTTATTTGGAGTAACCAAATTAGTTCAGTAGACTTTCTCTTCAGTCATTCAGTATTTTCAAAAAGATAAGGTCTGCAGGACATATAGATAGCAAACACAATAGGCAATTGAAATGAGTGACTGTTTGGTGAAAGACTAAACTGATGTGTTCAGTTAGCTTGTATTTCCCAAAAGCTTTTTAAAAGTTTTCTTTCATTTTTACTTTTCTGTGGTGGTAAGGATTGAACCCGAGGCCCTCACCACATACTGTGCAGTCACTCTACTGCTGAACTATATCTCCAGCCCCTCCAGGAAACATTTTTATAAAAATAATGAAAATTTACCTATATTATTTGCCCTTATGGAGAAGAAAGATTTGACAGGATTGGTAAACAAGAATTTGAAGGAACTTTTCACGGTATATCCTTTGTGCTCTTTAGATATATTATTATTTTACTTTTAAACTATTTAAAGATTTTAGCTGGTGTAAACAAGTATTGTCTATATGGGAGAAAACAAATAAGCTGACTTTTCAAATCTGCAGACTAATATCTGGTAATCCAAGATAGTAAAATAATCGGCAAGTTTTGACAAATATTTGAGAATTTATGAAGGATTAAATCAGTATAAGATTAGCAAAGAGACTACCTGGACATTAGGAAAAAGCTTTCTAATGTATGGAATTATAAATGCTGAGATAAAGAAATCAAATCAGTATATGTTGAAAATAATAGAATCTTGAGTTTAAAATATAGGAGTCTTAGCAGAAGTTAACTTCCTACATAATGTAATTTATGTTGCAAGTCAAGTTTTGGTAAGTTAGGAATTTTTACTCTTGGTCTTTGTTGATGCCAGCAAAGATTATGAGTATCACTTATGTATCATAGCCTGATAACAAACTACATTTGAGGCTCATACCCAGAGTTATCTACAAAAGAGATTTTTTTTTTTTTTTTTTGGTACCAGGGATTGAACTCAGGTCCTTGTGCTTGCAAGGCAGGCCACCGAACCGCTGAGCTAAACCCTCAGCACCAAAAGAGATTATTTTTAATTAATGAGTGGTATTAAACAAGTGTTGACCTTTTGCCCAGTGTTATTTATTACTAATTCTGTTAACATGATATAGAATTTGACAATTAAGCATATAATTCTCAAAAATGTCTGAAAAGCATTGATGGTATGTTCTAGATTTTTGAAACTTTTTAAAACATGAAATTTTTGCATTTACCAAGAAATGGTGAATTTCTTCATTTACCAAGGTCTTCCCATAACTGTTAATAATGACTGCTTTTTTATTATGGGAAAAATTGATTGATAGGTGCTCATGGTATAACAAAGAATCCATAAGTTTTCTCTTATTCCTTGCTATCATAAAAATGTTGCAGATATTATCTGTTAGTACTTGAAAAATTACCTTCCAAAAAGAAAAATAGAGAACCTGTACAGTTGTTAGTCTCAGGGTTAGTTTAAAAAAAAAAAGAAAAAAGTTACCTCTGTACAGAAGGCTGTAGAAGAAAGGAGAAGTTCTTTGCCTTGTATAGGGTACAGAAATACTTTATATTGTTGAATCTTTTTAATTCAAGTGTTATACATTTATTGTGCTTTTTTGGTAATGAATCTTTCTACAAGGGCTCATCGTTCAGGTTTGGTTTTACTTGTTTATCTTAAGCACTGCAGCAGCACCTAGCAGACATTAACGTGGATGGACCAGAAAATGGATATGGCCATTGGATTGCTAGTACTTCAGGCTCAAGGAGCAGTATCAATTCTTCTATTGATGTGAGTGTATTTGTATAATATGTCCCCAGAGTTGGATCATTTCCCAGAAAAGATAATTAGCTACTAAATCCCCTCCATAAGAGAAGTGGTGTCAAAATATTTCACACACAGTGAAGATTCACATTATTGTGATGTTAATGAATCAATGAAGGCAGTGTGCACTTCTGACTTTGTTGAAACTTGAATGAGCTGATTCCAGGAATCTACCAATTAGTTTGGACTAAGGGAATATTGGGACTCAGCTCCTGTTCACATCTCCTGAACATTGTGTTTGTACTTCTGCTCACCCCAAACTTACATGATTAGGACTTTGGTCTAAATTCACCCAAGAATAGTTCAGGCAAAGGAAGATAGCAAACAGTTGTCAATCCTGTTATATTTGATTTTTAGTTATTCAGATGTACTTAACTGCAGGGCTTTGCTATAGTGGATAAATTCATTTTTCTTCTTTGGAAATATGTGAGTAATAAGTCTTTCATAGTTTCATAATATTTCTTGTAGTTCAGTTGTTTGTAATTGAATATTTTTCTTCATGAATAATGGTTATCTACCTAATGTTTATGTTTTAAACTGTAGTACAGGCTCATGGTTACTAATTTGGGCTTATCCCCTGCTATTCCTAGGTGCAGGTTTCATCATTGTAACTTCTTTGTGATCTCCAGCAACATCTTTCAGCTGTACTTTCTTCACTTGTGCAATAGAGTTGATAATAGTAGAACCTTCCTCAAAAGGAAGATTGAGAATTAAATATGCAAGGAAACATGTAGTACTTTCCACTGAATAATTAATACTAGTTATTATAAAATTTTACTCACTAGACAATATTGACGTTTGTCTTTAACCATAGAAGTCAAAGCAGATTATTGATAAAACATTATCAACAGATAAGACTTCTCTGAAAATTTTATCTCATGATATCTTTGTATGAAAAATTAAGTAGTGTTCCATTGTATGGATGTGATACAGTTTTTTTGGTATTTTGTTGCTCAGTGTATAGCTTTCAGTCTTTTTCCATTACACACTACTACATGTTATTTTTATAGTGATACATTTGCATACAACATGACTATTTAGTCCTAGAGGTAGAATAACTTGTTTAAAAGATTTCTTATTAGAATCTTTACTATTGTGCATTATTATCAAATAGCTCTCCAAAAAACATTATTCTAATTTGTATTTTTCAACCACAGCCTTTGGAGTGTTGAAGTTTTTGCCTTCAAATTTGAAAAACACTGATTGAGGCTATCATAGAAACTGTTGTAAAGATTTGTTCCATTTGAAAGTACCAAAGAATTTCCATGGTCACTTTAATTTGGTGTTGAATTTAGTATGGAGTTAGAGGTACAGTTTTTAATGTAGTTAATGACATATTTCTCCTAAAAATAAAGGTAATATATATTCAATGTGGCATCATATATCAGTATTCTAAAAAAGTAATATATGTTCATTGTAGCATCATATGTCAATAAGAAAATACAAATAAAACAAAATCACCTCTAACTACCAGAGATAATAATTGCCTTTCATATTTAGGAATATTTGCATAAAATCTTTTATTGTATGTGTATTTTAGTATTTTATTTTTAAAGTAGAGATCACAATTTATAGTAGTTTTTATTTTCTTTTTTACTGAACAGAGAGCATTTTCTGGCATTTTAAGATGTTTTTAAAAACTGTTTTACAGGGCCGGGGATTTGGCTCAGTGGTTCCGCCGCCTGCCTTGCAGGCACAAGGACCTGAGTTCTATCCCTAGTACCAAAAAAAAACCAAAAAACTGTTTTACAGGCCAGGTGTGGTGGCACATGCCTGTAATCCCAGCACTCGGGAGACTGAGGCAGGAGGATCGCTGTGAGTTCGAGACCAGCCTGGGCTACATAGTGAGTTCCAGGTCAGTCTCAACTACATAGTGAGACCCTGTCCCAAAAAACCAAAAAAAAAAAAAAAAACTGTTTTACTGACTCTTTAGGGACTTCCTGATTATTTCCTTTCCATAAGTTCTGAAGAGGAACTAGTAGACAAAATATTTGACACATATCACCATTTTGAGTTCTGGGGTATATGTGAGCCATCTTGTGAAGCAATATAAGAATTATACTCACACCCATTAAGTACATCAGGATAACTCTTCTTCCGAAATTAAAGGCGTAAGTTGGAACATTTTGAAAAGTAAAAATATACAAGTACTAGAGCTGGGGATTTAGCTCAGTGGTTCCACCGCCTGCCTTGCAAGTGTAAGGTCCCAAGTTTGATCCCTGGTTTCCAAAAATTAAAAAAAAAAATACAAGGACTAAATGTTTAAAAATTCAAGTGTATAAATAGTAGTTTGATTATGCTTTTGCTTATTTTTGTAGACTGAGTTCAGAAAGATCAATTACTTTATTTCTTAGTGAATACAAAAGGTAATTTCAGACTATACATATGTACACATATAGGTACAGACATACCTTAGTTTTTCTACCGTACATTTTTAAAATAGCTTCACCTAGTGAATTAGTCCGCCATAAAAAAATAACTACAGATCAGGTGGTCTAAACAACAGAAATTTATTTTCTTAAGTTATAGAAGCTAAAAGTTTGAGATCAAGGTGATGACATGTTTGGTTTATCCTGAGTCTTCTCTCCTTGGCTTACAGGTGGCCACTTCTCATGTCCTCACATGGCCTTTACTCTGCACCTATACCTATACTCTCCCTCTTAGGAGAGTTGGATTAGAGCCCATTCTGACCTGATTTATATAATTGCTTCTTTAAAGGCCTTGTCTGCAAATATAATCCCATTCTAAGATGTACTAGGAATTAAGATTTAATATGAATTTGTTGGGGATGTGACTCAGTCTATAACATGGGGATAAACGTTGGCAGTAGTGTGTCTGCAAATTATTTGAAGAGCAGTTACATCTATATTCTTATTTTTCAGGGTGAATCTCCTAATGGTTCAAATGATAGAGGAATGAAATCACTGGTAAATAAAATGACTGTGGCTTTGAAGACAAAATCCGTTAATGTCAGAGAAAAAGTTATCAGTTTTATTGAGAATACATCAACTCCCGTGGACCGGTGAGTTTTCTTCAATTTTATTTATCATTAGTAATGCATATTAATTGTGCATATCACTGAGTTTCACTGTTACATTCCATTTATGCACGTATTGTACTTTGATGAGTAAATAAAACTAATTACAGTAAGTAAATGTTAGTTGAAAGTGTAGAAAAGCATCATAAAACACTTTTCTGCTAGAAAGTTTCATAGTTTTTATGATACTTATTGGGATATACTTTATTGCTATAAAATTTGGTTATCAAGATTCCTCGCCTTTTGTACTGCTTACAATGATTTATAAATAATGAATCTGCCCCTTCATTTAAAAGCAAATAGTTGTCAGCTTTGCGTGGTGCTATAGTAATCCCAGCTACTAAGGAGGCTGAGGCAGGAGAATCATAGGTTTGAGTCCAGCCCAGACAATTTAGTAAAATGTTATCTCAAAATGAAATTAGAAAGAAATGTCGGAGCATAGCTCAGTAGTAGAGTACTTACCTAATATGCACAAGGCCTTGGGTTCCATCCCTGCATTCCTAAAAAAAAAAAAAAAAAAAAAAAAAAAAAAAAATCCTTAAATGTCTCAATATGTATTATATTTTGTGATGCCTGCTTCAGAAATATCAAAGGAATGAGGAGTCATCTACCAAATTTAGTGATCTGATAGAACCTCTTTCTCTGTCCCAGCAATTTAAAACCTGGCTGTTTGGTCATGCTAAATATGGCATGGTAGGGTCTACTTCTTAAGTTTAGATCTTCATAGAATTTTTTTTTTTACAAATATGAGCAAATTCCATTTCCCTTGTGAATTATAAACCAGAGATACAGTGAATAATTGATAAACAAGTCTGAGAATTCTCTGTTCTATACTGATTCAGGTTTTTATTTGTTTGTTTTGTTTTGTTTTTTGGTCCTGGGGATCAAACTCGCAGTGGTATCCCTGTACCTACTACTTCTATTTTTTCATCTGTTAGTTTAATTGATCTTTGTTGTCCCTAGTGTTCAAATTTAACCTTACATTTGTAACACAGAAGTTGTTTCTCAGTAAGCCTGATCTTGGAAATGTATTATACTATTTGATTTCATTTTCATGTCTGTCTTGTAGTATTTTGGGATAGTTGAAATATTGAATTTAAGAACTGAATGTTAGGAATTTGTTCTTTATCCTTTTTGTTTTTTTTTGTTTTTTTTAGTATAGTACATATATTCCTACAAATGTTCATGTTTTCTCATTCAATAAATAACGAGGTAATGGAAGCTGGGTGTGGCGGTGCATGCTGTAATCCCAGCACTGGGGAGGCTGAGGCAGGACTATCTCTACAAGTCCAAGGCCAACCTGAACTACAGAGTGAGATCTTGTCTCAAAACAACTTAAAAAAAAACAAAAGAAAATAATGTGTTATTGTCATTAATCCAAAAAATTGTACCTTATCTAAAATAGTTTACTAATAATTATTAAAGCATTTTTCTCAAGCCTGAAATTTTTTTTTGGCTCAGTAATATCTACTCTCAAAAGCCTCTTTAGTGCTTCTAAATTACAATATTATTACTGCTACATTTTGTGCCATGGACATTTAAAATTTTATTTTAAAATAGACTATGATAATTGTGAGTTCTTTGAAGATGTTGTCTTTATTAAAACACTTAAAACTGGCTTTTCTTAATTTTTCTTTGTACTTGAGATGATTGAAATATTTTCTTGTATAATCTGGGTTAGAAAACTGATTATACTGTTGTATTTATTTATAATCATTTTGTTCTGTCCTCTACCTTGATTTACTATAGAATGTCTTTCAATCTTCCCTGGCCAGACAGATCATGTACAGAGCGGTAAGCCAATGAGTAGAGCAGCTTTATGAAATCATCCTTTCCTTTAGCATTCCTCATGCTATCTATAAATGCCTTGTGCTATCTTGGCTAAAATTTCATGCAGCTATTTCAAGAGCTAGTTGAACTTTTCTCATTCTCCTTGCAGGAATGTGTCATGGTGATGAATCTGTTTTTGTTTCGTTTTCATTTTAATTTTTTTCTTGCATGTTTCTATCGCTCATTCCTAAGATATAAATCAAACTCCTCCTTCCCAGTTAAGAACTTTATAAGCCCTGAAGTTTTTATTCTGAGACAGGGAAGGTGAAACTAAAAGTATGTATGAAGTCAAGAGTTGGCAGGGTTTTAGCTTTGGAGATAATTTACTACAGTGCTGTCTCTTCCATTATCAGTTATTAATTTGCCTTATTATAGTGGCAAAAAATGAACAATTCACAGTTAAAAAAATTTTTTTTTGCCAGTGACTAAATCCAAGAGGCTTTATACATGCTAAGTATCTACTCTACCACAGAGCTAGCTGTACCTCTAACCTCAAAATTTTAAATGTTTTTACATTATATACATTTACATTTTCAGGTATTTCAATTTTTATTTATTGTTTTTGTTCCTACACCTTGCTAATTATAAGGCATCTATTATTTCAAAGGAAATTGCTTTTTAAAATTTTAATCTATTTGTGAATCATCTATTTTCTTCTGTTAAAGGGCTACTGAGATAGTCTAATTTTATTTAACTCCCAAATTTTCTCCTAGATTCTTAATTTTTTAACTTATCTTCTGTCATTCACATGCAGATATATTTATTTTTAAAACATAAATTAATTAACAGAATAAATTGAATTTCTGAGCTCAGTAAATTAAGTAAAAGCCTATCCAATTCTATAGGTGTTTGTTATTATTTTGGCAAAAAAAATTCTAAGTTCACTGATTTTTAGAAATAGTCCAACCAAATCTCAGCATTAAAAAAAAAAAAAAAACCAAAACATTGAGTTTCATTAAGTCTGACTAAATGCTAAGTAATTTGCATAATTTTGTTGGTTGTGAAAGCATAAACTATTTTGTGAGCAAAATAAAAGAACAAGAAGAAACTCAGCATTTTCTGTTAAAGGAGAATTAAATAAGTGAAATCAATAAGAAGCAATACTTTCTGGTATGGTTTTCAGGCATTTACTGTAAGCTTAATCTTTATTATTTCTTTATTACTTTTTCATGTTCTAGCAATTCATTCTTTTTTTTTTTCGGTATTGGAAATCGAACTCAGGACCTTGCGCTTGGGAGGCAGGTGATGAGTTTATTCGTAAATAAGAAAGAACCTATAATTTAATCTCATGGAAATTTATAATCTAGGCACTAAAGCATTTCTAGATAAAGCTGTTACTTTTTCCTTTTGATGGAAAGCTGAGTTTGAAAGTTGTTTGAACTATGCCTTCCTGTCATCAAACTCTGCCTTTGTTCCTCTCTTTTCCATTATTGTACAAAACACCTCAAATAATCAATTTAAGGAGAGGAAAAGTTTATTTTTGCTCACTGTTTTGGAGAATTCAGCTCATATGTTTTGGCAGGGAGCTATCATGGTGGGGAGAGCATAGAGGAGCAAAACTGTTCACCTCCGCTCTCCATGGTGGACCATGCGTGAAATCCTAGCTACTCAGAAGCCTGAGGCAGGAGGACCACAAGTTCTACCCTAGCCTGGGCAATTTAGCAAGACCCTGTCTCAATATTTTAAAAAGGTTGGAAATGTAGCTCAGTGGTAGAGTGCTTCCTTAGTATGCACAACGCCCTAGGTATTAGTAGTGTGTGCACATTTGCTTGCACACAACATCCACACACTCATTTCTGCAACTACACATACATAGATTAATCCCCAAAAACCTGTTCATTTAATGGCTGAGATGAATGAGAGAAAGAAAGGGTGGGGTCCCAAGGGCACACCTCCAGTGACCAAACATCTCCCAGTAGGCTCCACTTCTACGTCCCTATAGCACAAAGCTGGGGAATGATGCTCACAGATTTGAACGAAGAAGACATTTTCTAATGAGCATAGTTCAGTAGTTTAAAAGAAAATTCTGATTGAGATAACATAAAATTATATGGCTTCCGATTTAATCAACTTTATATATTACCTGACCTAACTTTTAATTCCAAAAAAGTAAATGTTATGTGCTAAGCTCTCATTAGATTTTTTAAAATATCATTTTAGAAGAACTAAAGACTCAATTCTGTTTCAACTTAATTAGGTGATAATAAAACTTTCATTGATTGTATATATTAAAATTATTCAGTATATAATTTGAAATGTGTCTTCTGGGAAAACTGAATTCTTAAAAAATATGTAACTTGATTTTGTTGCATATTGGAATATCTTTTGAAAATAGAAGATTCTGTCTTCATATGTAACAAAGAAAAAAAAAACAACAGTCTTCCTTTAATATTGGCTAATCTTAACTGGATATTATCCTACAAATAAACAATTCTTTTCCCCTAAAAAAGGTATAGTATTTTGTTCAAATGTTTTAATTTTACCTTTTGATTTTGGATTACCTAAAAAGTAATCAGGTGTTAATTTTTACATTAAAGAGAGGTCAAACTTCCTGCAGAACTAAAAAGTTTTGAATTGTATGCCATTTATGTTTCTGCCATTTGAAAAAAATGGCCGATTCATTTTCATGGTTTATATATATACAGCAGGATTTTTGTCTTGGTTTTGATTAAAACAAAAGTATTAGTAATAAAATGGGAAGAAAATTTCTAAGACACTTGGATGTATAAGAGATGCTTGAACACTCTTGCAGGAATTTGAATATTTAATACCATAATCTGTTTTGTCTAGTAAATGTGTGTGTATATCACTTGCTATGTACTAAGCATTGTTCTAAGAGCTTTTTGAAATAATGAACTGATTTAATTCTCACAATAACCCTGAAGAATAGATATTATTAGCACCATTTTACAGGTGAGGAACAGAAGCACAAAGAGATTATGTAACTTCCTTAAAGTCAAAACAGATCTTAAGCATTGGTTTTAAGTGGATTATTGAAATTATTTAAAATTAAAATTTGCTGATTCAAGAGCATTTAGCCTATTAGGTCACTTTTGAAAGATATAATTTATCTTCTGTCAATTTTCTTAACATAGCGATCTGAAAGCTGGGGGTGAATACCTAGGTAGCAAAGAATATTTACGTTTGTTTGAATATCCAGTGATGCTTGGGGGAAACTTTTGGTAACTCCTTAAATGATTCCTTAAAATTCTTTGAATGTAGGCATGTGAGCAGCAGTGACAGAGTGGGCAAGCCTTACCGTGGTGTAAAGCCGGTGTTCAGCATTGGGGATGAAGAAGAATATGACACAGGTGTGGTAATATGCTTATCTACAGGCTGTTTCCTCAGTCCTCAGGAGTGACTAGAGAGATCATCCCAGCAAAAGCATACAACTTCTTAAAAGACAAAACAATGAACTTCAGTGGAGTGAATTGGAGAATTTGTAGGTTGTTACTAAAATTTCAGTTTTGTCAGGCACACGTCTGTAATCCTAGCACTTGGGAGGCTGAGGCAGGGTGATCGCCATGAGTTCGAGGCCAGACTGGCTACATAGTTCAGTGTAATTAAGCCTGAATTGAACTATATAGGGAGACCCTGTCTCAAAAAACTTCAGCTTTAAACATCTTAAGTTGTGCTTACTAGAAATCCAAAAGTAGGCTTTGACTATAAGAATCTTCAGCTGAGGCGAGATCTCTGCTGATGATAATGTGAGTTTTATCAGTATAGAAGTCATATTTAAATCTATAGGTTTGAATTTAAATTCCTTTAATTGCCCACTGTGAGATTGAGAGTTGTGGGACTGGAGTTCTGAGAAACATCTGAAAAGAGCCATTTGAAACTGGAGGCAGTATCCGTAAGGACCACAAGGTGGTGATATTGTGGCAGGGAAATTTTTTTTTGTGTAGTTATTTTTCTTTATATCAAAAAAAATTATTTTTGTTTATAATTCCATCACACATTGTCCTGGTTAATAATAATTAAAGACTTCTCAATTTAATCTTGTGTTCAGGATTACATATTCCCTCTTAGTAATAATAGTTGCATATTTTCCTTTCAGCCTATATATCATTCTTTT